AGCTACAGTCGCAGTCACCGTCGTCGTCTATTTGCGGTGGGTTTTAGATCTGGGTTTTCAGATTTGTGTTGTCACGTTGTATGTTTTCAGATCTGGGTTTTGACATTGAAGCATTTTGGTTTTAATTTGTATATGTACTGATGGCTGGGTTTTGACATTGAAGCATTTTGGTTTTAATTTGTATATGTATTGATGGCTGGGTTTTGACATTGAAGCATCAACATTCAACACATTTTGTATATGTACATGCTCATACTGGTGGCTGAGAATTCAGTATATGTTGCTTTGAAGGAATTTTAATTTAAAAAAGAATTCAGCATCAACACATTTTAGGGTTTATTCAATTACAATAAATATAATTTTAATTCACGTGAAAAAAAAAAATTGGAAAAAAAAAATGGGCCAAAGTGGAGTGTGACCAAATTGGGCCAAAAAATGCAACTCATAAGTGGAGTGTGACCGAATTGGGCCAAAAAATGCAACCCATAATTCATAATTGGGCCAAAAAATGCAGCCCAATATTAATCCTAATTAGCTGGTTTAAAACCGGTTAATCGAACCGAATTTTCGGTTCGGTTCATAACCGGTTTTTAACTGAAATCGGTCTGGTTTCGGTTTAATTATTTTTTTGAACTGAAAACCGGTTCGGTTCAAGTTTCTGGTTAACCGGTTTTTTCCACCCCTACCTCAATTGATTATTGGTCGGTAAGAGCTCTAATGGATACTTTTATTAACAATCGAATAGCGATTCTAACTCAAAATTGAAATCGGTCTGGTTTCGGTTTAATTATTTTTTTGAACTGAAAACCGGTTCGGTTCAAGTTTCTGGTTAACCGGTTTTTTCCACCCCTACCTCAATTGATTATTGGTCGGTAAGAGCTCTAATGGATACTTTTATTAACAATCGAATAGCGATTCTAACTCAAAATTTCTTAAATAATACGTTCTATAATTTCTATCGAATACAAATATAGTTATGCTTTATTTTATGATTTGTCTCTTTTTATATTTTAAAAAAAAAAAATTTTTCCTAAATATTTATTGTTTTTAATTTTGTTAGATAAAATTATATTTTTGCTTTAATTAAAAAAAAAAAACACTTTTTATATACCATTATGTCATATTATTTTGTTTTTTTTTTTTTTTTTTTTTTACATTAAGATCAAAATAAAAAAGGTTTTTCTGTCTTTTTATCATATTTTTGTATTTTTATTAAACTAAAATTGAAATTTTAATGACACGTGCAATTGTTATTTGACATATGAAATTTCTAGTTACTAAGTCAAATTGTTATTATTTTATTTCACAGGGTGTTTTGGGCGAAATAAACCCATCATGGAAACTACGTCGTTTAACCTTTATCATCTTCCCGCCGCTTTCGAGTCTTAATTTTAAGGCGGGTGTTGCGTTCTTTAGATTTCAAAACAAAAATCTCCGGACCTGGGGAGGAGAATATTTACGAATATTTTTTTTCTTCTAATTAGGACTTGATTTCTTATATGATGATTTTGATTAAGATTTGATTTCTCATTTTATGATTCATTGAGTTAGTAGTATTAAAATATTCTAATTATTTTTTTAGTAGAATTATTTATGATTAGGCTACCGTAAATAGAGTTGTTATTTTTTATTTTTTCAATAAAATCTATTATTACTTTCTTTAAAAAATTTATCTCTGTCGTAATTTGGAGTTTATACGGCACATCTGGGTGGTGGTGGTGCGGCGCCCACCGAGGAGCCCGAGTCTCTCTGGGAGGAGGCACTTGATGACTATAAGTAAGTGACTGTTGAATATGATGATGAAGCGGAAGAAATGGTTCAGGATGAGGATGATGACGTGGTTAAGCCCAATGGTTCTGCGGCTATGCGAATGGGTGGTGGGAATGACGATGATGACTCACAGGATGCGAGAAAGGACGCCATGAGTCTTAATGTCCAGGATATAGATGGTTATTGGCTTCGAAGGAAAATCTCTCAAGCTTATGCAAAACGTTTCCCAGTGTAGAGTTGCTGAGGTTGAGATTGGCGTAGGAGCAGAAGGTGTTTGTTGAAATAAGAGATGCAGATTTTCCAGTATGCAGTTGATGTTTCAAAAGTTAGTTAATCTAACTAACTATTCAATTAACGGAAGTTAATGTTTGGTGTTCTAAAAGAGATGCTGAAGGAATTAACGGAATCACAAGCCGTCAAGGTCCGTTAGTATTCTTATAAAAACACGACGTCGTTTCAACATACAACTTGCAAACTGAATGTAAAGGCCGATGGATTCAAAACTGAGGGTTTTGCTCGTACTTCAGTAGTTCATTCTTACTCAATGAAGAACAAACTAATCCTACGGGCTTCTGAGTTTTCATTTTGTGTTGGTTTCTGTAAATATGATGGTTGAGATTGCCAACTTGGACAAATTGATATGTCTATATAAACATCTGTACTTGTTGATGCGTGATTTTGACACTAACTAAACGCACGTGAGAAATGTTGAGCTGACTCAGAAGACACACGTGTATGGGGGTATTGAACTGAATAAAAGATGAAGAACGGTGTTTAAAGTGATTCAGATGCTTAAGAAAGCGAATCTTACGTCCATTGATATCGTATTAATATTTGAGATTAGGTCGTGTTCAGCGAGCTGATTTACAGAAGATTACAAGAGAGAGAAAGAGAGAGTATATATGCTATTCCAGAGAGAAATTAGTTAATCCCACAAACGGGAGAGGAACCCTCTATTTATAGTGGGATGGGTTGAGGTAATGATTACTAAATCAGGGAGTGGGTCAGATTGTCGTTCAAATCCTTCCTTGCGCCCCGTTATTCACCTGCTCGAGTGATTTACTCGACTGTTGCAGGGATTGGACACGTGGATCTCCTCCAACCTTTCACCAGCCTGGCGCATACCTACTGCACTGGCAGGAGCATGCTGCTTGCGTCAGCGTGCGACGTGGTTGCGTCTGAATGGCTGCTGGACTTACCTAAGCTTTGACCACTTACGCTGATAGGGCTCTGCGTCAGCCCTATTTTTCCAGGCATAACAGTATTTTTAGCCATTTTCTCCAAAATTTACATGCAACCAGCAAGCATGATACAACAATCTGTAGAGAACAAATATCTTAACACAGGTACTTGCCTCACTGCATCAAAAATTAACATATCAAAATCAAGTTGTCCTACTAAGTAAAAAGAAAAGGAAAACAAACCTAGAACGAGTCCCCGAAGATTTTGTAGAGGAAATTTAGTGTAATTAGGCAAAGCTTCCTGATGAAAGCGCAATCCAACAATAAGAGAAAGCATATGAAAGTAGTATAAAAGTGTATCATAAGTAATTAATTAAGTATGGTGTAAAACTAGAGGTGGGCAACCAGTCCTTGGGAGGACTCTGGGGAGGGGTGATTGGGCCTATGTTGGTCCCTCCTCCAGGGCTCGGGCCTGGGACCAGTCGTAGGCCCGACTAATTTTAGAAGACTCCTAACAAATACGCAAAAACCTTTTGACAAATAACCAAAGCCCCCTATAATAACCAAAACCCCCTAAAAAATAACCAAAATCAGCCTAATATTTATTAGACCTGCATAGGACTGGTCTTAGGACCGGTCTTGGGACTAGTCCTATACAGGCTAGGCCCAAGCCTGGAACCGGTCTGGGCCTTCACAAAAGTGATAGGCCCAGGATTGGTCCGAGCCAATTTGGGTCTAGGCCCTGTTTGCCCACCTCTACGTAAAACCTACCTTGCCTCAACAACCAAATCCAATTTTTTGTAACAAAAAAAAAAAAAAAAAAAAAAAAAAAGAGGCAGCTTTAGAAAAAAAAAAAATTAGAAGATATGGTATCTATAAAACATATTATGTTTACCTAGCTTAAATATAATTAAATTAAATGTCCTTATTACAAATTAGGAACTAATTAGTGTGGTGTACAAATAAATTTTGAAAACAATTTCCAATGTTTATTCATTATCAATTGAATTATAAATATGAATTTTGTTATAGTAATAAACGTAGAATATAAGCTATTATTATGGTTTTCGCTTATGTACATAAGATTAAAACTTGAAAGTAATCACCTTTAAATTCATTATATTAAATATTGAAATTCAGAAAACAAAATATTATAATAATATAATAATAATTTACCTTGCTTAACACCCTATTTTTCTTAATACTTGAAATACATATGTAGAAATTAAGGAGAAAGTTGAATTTAATAAGTATACATATATAAAAAATACTGATATTAGTATCAAGAAATTAAATGAAGAGGATGTTTCAATTAATAATGTTTTTAATAACTTATTCTAGAAATTTTAATAAAAAAATTGTCTATTTTATGGTAAAAAGAGTTTATTTATTTATTTCAAATTTTCTCTTATACTAATGTTTAATGAACTAATGCATTTAATATTAAAAATAGATCAATTATGTACTTCAAAAAATTATAAAAGTCGATTTTTAACTATTTTTAAAATTTGAGGATACTTGAATAGAGAACGTTTTGTTTTATTGAAGAAGATTAAAGTTGTCTTATCATGGGAATTTCTCTATCATTGAGATTACTTGTTATGGAAGGAGAAAGGATATAACTTATAAAAAAGGTGATAAGATGACTCTTTGAGACTTTGAAAATTCAAAGTAGTTAATTGTATGGAAGTAGCAAGCTCCTTCGAGAAACCTATCTACTAAAAAAGTGATCAATTCTATAATAGTTTTAGAGGCAATAAAGATTGATTTACAATCCAATCTCACAAATTCTTCTCAAAAATAATAAATTTATATTACAATATCTCAAATAAGAATACAATAAATATAAAAAACAAATAAATCAAAACCCAAAGTAACAATGGCAAATATAAGACAATGTTCTTCTCAATGCAAAACTGCTAAACATTATTGTATTATAATCAACCTAATACTAACAAAAGTGTTGTTGAAGAGTTTAATCTTCTCTTAATTGAACTTCCTGAAATGTCAGAAAACTAAATCAGAGTTTCCGAAAACAACATCGATCGATCACTCTCCCACCACCATTCCTGTAAACGATTGACACTTCCGTTCATACAAATCCCAACCTGTAGGTTTTATCTGATGCCATGGAACATCAAAGCTATTCACGACGTTCACATTCTTCTTCTCTTTCTCTTCTTCTTCTTCTTGTTCCTCTTCATCGTCTCCAGAACACTCACCCAAGCCTGGGAAAATTGCCGGATCAATTTCAGCATTCCAATCAATCTCATCAATAAACATATCCCGATTCGGAAGACTAATTCTCTGTGGCTGGCCAGTGATCTTGAACCAATATCGAAGCTTCGCCTTTTTGAAAGCCTCTTCACAAGCGGAATCGTCCCATTCAACTACTCTATCAAAAATATTCATATATTTCTTTGCTTCTACAATCCTCTTCCATGGTACTGAACCCACTTCCCAGCAGAATTTCCTCTCCCATATCGGCACACTTTGAGCTCGGTGTTCTGAGCTTCTGTGAGCTCTCCTCCTCCAAGAATTGTAGCCATTACTTACAGCTGCCATATTTTTCTGTTATTGAGTGAAGTGTTCTGTTGAAATATGTTTGCAACATAAGCTACTTATAGAAATATATATAGCAGAAAATAGTGTCTCCTGTACTGTATCGGTTTTTGCTTTCTCTTGTAATAGCTTAAGAAACTTTTAAAGTTTATAAATTGATAAAAGGATTAATGGAAATATTAATTATTATTAAGTGATAATTATGCACTCATTATATCAATTAGAAAAACTTTAAAATACCGCCATTTATAGAAGGGTTTATTTCGTTTATTCTTGTAACATCGATTAATATTAATATTGGGTTTATTTCGTTTATTCTTGTAACATCGATTAATATTAATATTAAACGTAACTTACAATTATAAGACATTAAGTATCTTTAATAGGAAATTTTTTGATATCTTTCTAAGGGTTTTTAATTATCTTGCAGGTAAATAATAATTATAAGGGGTATAAAATATTTTTCACTAACAGTGAGTGTGTTTAATTTTAACTTGGAGGAACTTCATTGAGTTAAACAATAAATTTTGTATGCATGTTTTTGGTTTTATAAATTATGCTGAAAATTTAAGGAAATATCACGCTGAGTTGGGTAATAAAATTACGAATGATCACCAAAATTACCGGCATGATTTGATAAATAGACCTAGGCTTTGGAAACTTCATAGAAATTACTATTGTGGAAAATATTAATTACGCGGCTGCACACGACGATTTAATTTAACAGTGAAACCAAATTAAATTAAGTAGTTATTAAATACATTAATTATAAAGATTTTGAAATAATAATTTACCTCTCATTATTAGTATTTTTCAAAGATTTTGATATTTAATTTAATAAATCAAGGGTGACGAAAAAATATTAATGAAGTATTAATATTCAATGGTAGAGGGTAAATATTATTTGAAGGGGAATTTTATTCAATAAAAACCATTACTGAATGGTTCAATGAGTAATTAGAATTTTTGGATGTATTACTTAAAAGATCTTGAGTTCGATTTACCTAAATTGTTAATAGTTTAAATACGTTAATTTATTCAATTATCAACTTCAAAACTCCGAAGAATTATTTAAGATACGCTCGGACACCATAAGACCTGAAGGGAACTTTTACGGAAAGTCCATCTTGTGCTCCAACTAATCATACAAATGAGAAAATGTGAATGGAAACACACTTTTAAAGACTTTGAAATTATATAGAAAAGTTGAGATGCCATGGGCTTTTTGACCAATGTATATGCTACTCGTAAAATCAATGTGACTAGACTTGTTTTTACTTGGAGATCCGATGTGACTTGACTTGGGTCACAAGTCCTTTTATTATTTGAAGTTATGTTAATATTTTGGAAATTTCTAGATTTTCCAACCTTGTTATGGAAGGAGATGGCATAAGCTTTGCACAAAATAAATAAAATAAATCAAATCTTGCTTACCAAGTAATTACATGAAGATATCGAGAAGGGATAAGCTTTGCAAAAATAAATAAATAAATAAATGAAGAAATCCACAAAATTTCATGATTATTATATTTATCTATTTTAATTTTCCTCTATTACTTTTGTTCTACATGGGTTTCTTTATGAAAAAAGAAAATTAAATGTAATTTATATACATAATATTATTTAATTTTTTATTCTACTTTTCCTAATGAGATATATCGTCAAGATAATAATTTCATAAAATTTACGCATTCATTTGAAATATAAAGTTTGTCAATTAGGTAGTATGACTCACACAAAATAACTCTCTTGTGAATATTTAAAATCTGATAAGTCTTTATGTAAAATAGTAAAATAAATTATATTTTTTCACAACTTTAATATTTACAATAACATAGATCAAAATATAACTTATAAATTGAAATTTATGCAAATTATAAATGTAAATCAAAAAGAAAATTTTGTTTATTTTCTTTTATTTGAATTGTAATTATAAATTCTCTTACACTTTCCTATATATTGATTCTCTATGAATATGTAAAATATATGCAAGTAATAGGATTTTATATTTCTATACTAAATTGAAAGATTTTCACATTTATCTAAATCTTATTAACTTTCTCCTTCTTCTATCTATTTATAAATCCAACCGAAAAAATAATGTCCGGTTCTTTATTCACAAATTCTTTACTAATTGTTGATGTGAGATATAGGAGTAAATTAAACAAAAAAAATTATTTTGTTTTTTAACTATTTGAAATTTATATAGGATAATTTTATCTCATCATTGAGTTGATTTTATTGTTGTTGAATTTTTTAAATAGAAGTCTTTGTTTTCTTCCGTTTACGAATTAATACAATAAGTAAATTCAGTTCAAACAGATTTCAACTTATAATAATCCAATTATACAAGACATAATCCAATTTAAATTTATCATTGTTTGGTATGCAGTTAGCATATTCAAATGGATGCTTTATTATTTTTCAGAAAGAAAAAAATACTCAATATTATTAACGTTTAATTGAAACTTTGAAACTCATCTGCTGGAATTAGATTAACATATATCTTATACTAGTGAGATTTATGTTATAATAGTGTACAAGCTTATATGCTTGTGGTACTTGTGAAAAATAATTAAATATAATATCTTACAATATTGTACGAGATAATGGTGAAAAATAATTAAATATACTATCTTAGGATATTGTACAAGATAGTATATTTAATTTCCTTGCTGTATTGATGTTTTCAGTCAATTATATTATTACATTTATTTTTATATTTTTCTTATGATACCCAATTTGAATTAACTAATATATGTCTAATAAGTTCTTTGGTAGGTAATATATATAACTCACACAACCCAAATGCGAGGTCTCTAAATATGTAACATGTCATAGGATTTGATATTTGATAATATATATATATATCCAGCTTTAAGTAAAACATAAATTTGATTAATAATCCCATTCTTTAACTTGTACGGGTTATTTGGTTGATAAGCATTAATTTAGGCAAATAATGAGATTAACTTGAGATATAAGACAAAATTAAAAACATTTTTTTTATTTAATTTCATCATTAATTTTTTAGCTATAGTTTTTTTAATATATTTTAGGAATCATTAATCCTAGGCACAGAAATAAAATAAAATTAATACAACGTCAAGAAATTTTGACTGTACATATTACTTATGAAGATTAGTTACGCATTGGAAAATCAAATAAAATAATATTAAAATATAATCCTATGAAATATGAATAATACTGTACGTACAAACTAAATTTTATTAATCATCTTTAAATTAACAAAATAATTGAAAGTTAGTATAACTCACATAACACAAAATGTGAAGCCTGTGAAAATTTCATATTCACAACGTTTGTTATCTTTTCTTGATATGAAATTTTCTAAGTCTCAAACTAAAGCTCAAGGCAGCTTTACAAGTTTACTCGTTCTTTGATATTTGCCTCCAGAAGTCTCATCTTCTAAGTCTTGTAAAAGATTAGGATCATACGGTTTCAAGGTTCCAATCAATTTTATCAATGTACATATCAGGATTTGGAAGTGGAATTTGGCATCGCTCACCATTGATCTCTGACCAATACCGAAGCTTTGCTTTCCTGAAGGCCTCTTCAGCAGCCGAATCATTCCATTCCAAAATATGATCAAATTTTTGCTCCCATGCAGGCACATTAGAACTTTGTTCACATTTTGGAGACTTGGCGCGAGTCTTCTTCAAAGAAAAACAACCATTACTTACATGAACAAATCTTCTCAAATCTGCCATTTTAGCTAGCTTAGAGCTCATTATTTTTCTTTCTTTCTTTTCTTCTTCTTAAGCAAAGAGAATGGTGTATTGTGGTTAAATGAAAGATAGATATAAGCTGTTTATATAATCATTAAGTACAAACTAGAAACCAATTTGTAGTTTAATCTGTTCACCGATTCTTGTTATATTTTAGGTTTTTTTTTTTTTTAAACGGGGGTTTACACCGAAAAAGTGTACTGGCCTACGTGTCCTCCTGACTCACACTAGCAATCCAGACACATGATTAAACAATAAATATTTTCTAGTGAACGGTCGTCCATCAAATTGGACGCCGTTCACTTACATGGACTCCCTAATTTTTATAAAAAAATTATTCCATTTTATTATGGATGGGCGTCCTTTAAATGAAAATCCGTCCATTTGATGACGACCGTTCACTAGAAAAATATTTATGTTTAATTGCATTTGGATTGCTGGTGTGAGTCAGGGGGACACATAGGCGATACAAATTTTTAGTGCAAAGACCCGATGTCCGTAGCTTTAGATAGCTTTGAGAACATTAAAACACAATTATCGCTATTTAATTAATGTCCCTCATCCATATGTAACTTATTAATGGTTGGTTACTCTATATACGCTGAATCTCGTGATAAAATGGACTGAGATATAGGAGGAAATTATAAATTATTATTTAATTAGTATAATTCCATGAATTATTTGATGGCTATTTTGAATAAGCAATGCTATACTACAGCTGAGTCCAAAAGGTAAAAACAAAGGATACAATATAATTTTACATAAATTTGTGCAATTTTTATGTAGTTGTATAATCTATTGTAAAGAAAACTTTATTGATTTTAAATAAGATAAAATTATCTGTACAAATTAACTCTCCTATAAGAAATTTGTGCACTGACATGACATATGGTCAACATGTATGTGTTATGTGGTATGGGGTCCATATTGGGGTTCATATAATTTAATGTCATATGGACCCTCGTGTCGTGTGGCATTAACATGGTGTGTCAGTTTAGTTTATATAAATTTCCTTGTACGAAGAGTATTCTTTTGAATATTGTCACCGTTATAATCATGGAATTTGTTCGGTTACCAAGGCACTTATGCTCCTAAATAGAGCAGCTTCAAGTTGAAACGAATGTATTGTTGGAATTCTTTTGATTAATTTCCCTCGCTTGTTATGTGAAAAGGTTAAATAATTTGCTAACGGGCAAGATTTTAGTAGAAAGTAGGCAAATTAATTAATCCAATGTACTACCAACAGCAAATTAC